CCCCTCCCCTCCCTCCAGGCGCATGTTCCCGTTCCTCAGCTTCAACCTGTCAGGACTCAACCCCGTGGCCCATTACAGTGTGTGCGTGGATGTCGTGTTGGTGGACCAGCACCATTGGCGTTACCAGGGCGGCAAGTGGGTGCAGTGCGGCAAGGCTGAGGGCAGCATGCCAGGTACGGGCTGACCTCCCCCCTCCCCAACAAACACACATCCCAAATCCCCATGGGGGGCAGAGCTTCGGGTGACCCCTGCATGCTGACCACCCCCATTGCAGGGAACCGCCTCTATCTGCACCCCGACTCGCCCAACACCGGCGCGCATTGGATGCGCCAGGAGGTTTCCTTTGGGAAGCTGAAGCTCACCAACAACAAGGGCGCATCCAACAACGTCGGGCAGGTAAGGACAACCCGGATCCCTTTCATTTCCCCCCCCAAACCCACGGTGCTGTGTCACACCGACCCTGAAAGCCCACTGCCCACAGATGATCGTGCTGCAGTCGTTGCATAAGTACCAACCACGGCTGCATGTGACGGAGGTGAAGGAGGGGGAGGGCGAAGCTGCGTACCCCTCCCCACATACCCACACCTTCGCCTTCCCTGAGACACAGTTCATTGCTGTCACTGCTTACCAGAACGCCGACGTGAGTACTGGACCCCCCCCCCACCCCGATCTCCAGCATGGGATCCCCCCCACCTCCTCCTCCCCAAACAGCTCCAGCTCCCACTCATCCTCCCCTCCCACACTGGGACCCCATTGGTGCATCCCAGCATCATCCCAGGGGTTTAAGCATCATGGAAACCCCAGTGGCAGCCCCCTCCCCCTTCTAACGCCCATAATTGCAGCACACCCTGTGTGCCCTCAGCATCCCTGTTCAATGCCCCCCCAGCATCACATCCATCACCCCAGCATCCCCAGCTCTCCCCACACTTCAAGCCCCATGGGACCTGGGGGGCCATTCTGGATGTACGGGTTGAAGACAAGGGCAGGGGCTGATGCTGGGGAGGGATGCAGGCACTGTGCTGGGAGCACAGCACAGCAGCAGCCTCAGCCCCAGGTATCCCCCTCATCCCTCCCCCCAGATCACTCAGCTGAAGATCGACCACAACCCCTTCGCCAAAGGCTTTCGGGACAACTTTGACTCGTGAGTACCACCCCCCCCCCATCCTCCCCACAGCCCCCATCCCGAGGCCTGGGAGGAAACCCTCCTACACCCACCCACCTTATCCCCCCCCCCCAGGATGTATGGAGCCTCAGAAGGCGACCGCCTGACCCCCTCCCCACCGGATGGCTCCGGCTGCCCCCAGCTGCTGCCGAGCCCCCGCTTTCAGCCCTTCCTGCAGGAGCAGTACCCGCTGCCCCCAGGGCGCTTCTTCAATGGGGAACGGGGTCCCCCCCTCCCCCTACCCCCCAAGGACCCCCCCCGATGGTACTTTGCCCCCCAGCAGCCGCCCACCACGGCGATGGAGTACAGCGGCTATGAGGGGGGGTACAGCGGGGGCAAGCTGGTGCCCTATGGGGTGAAGCCCTTTGCTCTGCCACCCGCCACCCATCCACCCCTGCCGTATTACCCCGAGGGGCCGGGGGCGTTCGGGGGGCCGGGGGGGACCTGGGGGGGCACGGGGCAGTACGCACACAAGGGCAGCCCCGGGGCCCTGGGCTGGTACCGGGAGCCTCGTGAGGAGAAAGGCAAGGAGGAGGGCTGGCCCCCCGAGCCCCCTGCCGTCAAGCCGGGTGATGCCGCCGAGCCGGGGCTGTACGAGGGGGGGTGCAAGCGGCGCCGTGTGTCCCCCTACCCCTCCAGCACTGAAAGCTCGCCCCCCGCCCGCAACGGGGACCTCTACGACAAGGAGCCGGGCACCGACAGCGGCTACTACGGCTTCTATGGGAACTGAGTTGCGGGGGGGGGGGGTTCGGACCCCCCCATCTCAAGCACCCCCAGGAAGGGTTGGGTATCTCAGAGCCACCCCCTGGGGCTGGAGCTGAGCCCAGTGCAGGGTATCCCTGCCCCCTCCCTCCCCTATTGAACACCCATATCCTGGGCAGAGGGGGTGGGGCTGTAGCCGGACAATCAGCCCCTGGAGCCCCCCCCCCGGTGGGGCCATGGGGGTGAGAGGGGTGGGGCTGAGGGAGGGAAGGGAGGGGGTGTTTTTTGTTGTTCTCGGTGGTTACGGGGGGGGGGTTCATGCTGAAGTATTTATTGAGCCCCACGTGCCCGGTGCGGGGTGGGGGGCAGCAGCATATCTCGCAATAAAGGGGACGCTGTAGGTGAGGCCTCTTTTCTGTCCTCTGTGCGCAAGTGGAGGGAAACTGAAACATGTGGGGGGGGACCCACGCACACCAGGCTGGGGGTGGGTCCTGAGACCGGCAGGAAGGAAGAGCACCGCAGCCCCCAGTGTCTCTGCAGCCTTTATTAGAGCAGAGCTGCCTGTGCAGCTGGGGTAAGGGGGGGGTGGGGGTTGCCCGCCTGCGGGCACCTCGGGAGCCCCACCCCACCCAGGGGATGGGGACAATCCCTGCTTCTTTTGAAATCACAGTTTTGTGCTGGGAACTGCCGGGGCCGGGCACTGCCTGCCCACAGACAGCCGTGGGGGGGGTCCTGCACCCCAGTATTTGGGGGGGGGCAGGGGGGCTCAGCCTACGGGGGGCTGCTACCAGAGCACGGCGCTGTCCAGGTGGGCGAAGCCAGGGTCCAGACGCAGCTTCCAGTAGGTATTATTGGTCACCCACGACTCCTTGCCACTGGCATCTGTCAGCCGCCTGAGGATGGGGGGGGGAGGTGTCACACCTCAGCTGTGCCCCATTGCCCCCCCCCTTCCCCTCAACCCTGTTCCCTACCTGAAGAAGCGTGCCTGGTGTGTGATGTTGTTCTCCTCCATCACGCGGCGCCTGTCCCGCTGCAGCTGCTCGATCTGACGCTTCTGCGCCTCAGCTGCCGCCACGTTCCCCTCCTCCAGGTACCTGCAGGGGGGGGCCAAGAGCTATAAGGATCCGCCCCCCCCTCCCTCCGGGCACACAGCCCCCATCCCCATGCTGCTCACCGCTGGTCGGGCCGCAGGCGCGTGTCGGTGGAGGGCAGCACCCTGCGCAGCTCAGGCGTGAGCTCGTTCAGCTCCAGCGCAAACTGGGTGAAGCCGTAGTTTCGCTCGTGTTCGGTGGGCATAGGGTCTGATGGGGGGATTGGGTGGCGGGGGGAGGGGGGTCACATGATCAGCACCCCCATAGCATCCTGAGCATCCTCCCCTCCCCAGTGTGCCCCCTCTTACTGGCTCTCCAGACGCACTGCCCTGGGGCTGGCCCACGGAACAGCCCTTCGTGCCATTTGCCGGCCAGGCGCTCCACCACGGCCCCGCTGCGGCTCAGCACCGCGCCCTGCACTTCGTTGGCACCCGCGCCCCAATACCGTGCCTGGGGAGGAAGAGGAGGGTGGGGGCAGTGGGAAAGGATGGGGCCGGGAGGGGTGGGGTTATGGGGAAGGGTTAAGGGCACGGCCGTTCACAAAGGGCGGAGTCACTAAGAAGGAGCCGTGCCATTAAGAAAGGCTGGGATCATTCATAAAGGGCGGGGATTCGGGGGGTGGGGCCATTCATAAAGGGTGCGGCGCGCGTGGGAAAAGAGCGAGGCAAACGAGGGCCAGTGATTGGCTGAGAAGATCGGCGAAGGGGCGGGGCCAGATCGGGGGGCGGGGCCAGACTGTAGTAATACAACGGGAGCCAGCGCCGTGTGGGCGGAGCCAGAGCGAATGGGGGCGTGGCCAAGCGGCGGGCGGGGCGCACCTTGCAGAAGGTGATCTTGCAGTGGTAGGAGGCGTCACGCGTGTTGCGGATCAGCACCTCGCCGTAATGCTCGATCCAGCGCGGGCCGCTGAGCACGTTGTGGATGCACGTGGTCACCTTGTTCCACTCGAAGTGGTCCCCAGACCTGCCGACAGACAGCCGGCTGAGTTTGAAGGTGGGGGGGGGGGCTGCGAGTAG